AATGGCCAAAAAAATTTCCCTTTCTTTATTTTCACTGCTGCTGGCAGCATTTTTTTTTTTTTTGATAACCATGGTATCTAGGACAGCTTGCGCGCACCTCGACTAATTCCAAAGGATACCTGCTACCTTCCACCAGCACCAGGTAACTCTATCTTGAGCTTGAGACATCAAGTTCTCAACTCAATTCATTCGCCATTAGGCCATACCTTTATGTTGGTAGCTAATTAAAAAAATCATGTTTTCCTTTTTAACTATTTCTCTCTTTTTTTTGTGATGGATCTAGCTGCTCAAGCTTCTATTTTTAATTATTACTAATTGCTAATAAATCGAGTAACTGACTCCTTCCTTTTTTTATCCATTTTTTAATATGAAGAATAGGATGCCCTATGGAGGACTTTTGTCTATATACTTCTTAGTTTTTAAATTGAAACATTTGCTTATATATAATATTTTTGTTGAGTTCTGTTTTATTTAGTGCAAGGTTTATTTTGGGCTTTCTTTAAAAACTATGCTAGCTTCACGCTTTAAGCGAAGCAAGACCCGGTCGCTTTTTCTCGCTTCAGACTCTCAAAATCATCGTCATTTACTTTTGGCTTATGGGTAACGACTAGTTAGCTTATAGGGTAATGTAGAGATGATTGGAGTGGTCGAAATTGTTTGAGGCGAACCAAGGATTTACCTTAAGTCTTGCATGAGGGGCTGCGGCCTGGGTGGTAGAGGGCCAAACACCAAAGTTTGAAATTACTATGGTCCACAAATGACATTGTATTACCCTAATCTATGTCAACAAGTGCTAAGAACCATCGCACTTTACAAGTAGATTATGGCATTAGTAGTATCAAGAATTGAGGCTAATTAAAGAAAAACTGGTTAGCTCAATTTTGCAGCAGCAGTAGAACTGTAGGAAAGAAGAAAATGATGTGGTAGAGACAGAAGAGAGAAAAAAGAAGTAGTTGTGGAGATTGAAATCCTTGGCAAGAATCAATACCTAAAGCAGTATTTATTCATATTTACCAAAAGAAACTTGGTACACCTCCTATTAGTGGATTGAGAAACCAAGAAGGATAACATGCAGATAAAGATAGATTGCTTGGGCTTGTAAATTGAAGCCCTTGGTTGATGTACATCGTCACTATCTACCTTCCTTTTTCTTCAATAAGTCCTATGACCATCAAATCTTCACCTTTGTAAACCTTAGGTGCCATTTACATATCTTTTTTGGAGAAAATTTTAAGATAAGTATTTTTGAGAAAACTTTGTGCAAAACAAAGAAAAGCATGCTTGGATAACTGCAGTTCTTTATTATAAATTTTATAAGTGCTTTGTAAGTTAGAACAAAAATTTCTCCATAGACTTCCTACTTTTTAACCAAAATAATTCTGAAGATATTTCGGAAAAAACTAAACCAAACACCGGTTCACGTTACTTGTTCATCAAAATTATCGTACTGAATATGCTTCTTTTATAAAGACGGAATATGCTTTTAAACAGTTAAAACATTAACAAGAAAGGCCAACCTAAGTTGAACTTGCAAGGGAAATGGAAAACTTAGCATGAGCACAAAATGTATTATATTGATTACCTCAAACCTCAGGTGGAACTTGTCTATCAATGGAGATAAATACTGTGCCAATTCCCTGGGGATGTAACCTAGCTCTTTATTGTGATCAGTATCTTTAGTTAGAACCTGACAGAAACATACAGGCAATGTTTTTTTAACATGCTTCAGATTACAAACTTACCAATTCAAGGTAACCATAGTAAGGGCAAAACCTTGATTGCATTCTGGTCCTTGACATTCTCGGGATCTCTTGAAAGCATTATCATTGCTCCAACAGTTAACTCTCCGTCATTACCAAACCTACGCCCAACAATGAATGTATCAAGCAAAATCTCAGAGTTATCATCATCTTCCGAAGGTTCCACACATTTCGGCATCCTTTTTTCAGAAAGTGATAAAGGTGAGTCTGCGATGTTGTCAATTCTATCATCACTTATTTGGTGTTGAGGAGAACCCTCTAGCCCAAAAATTTGCATTGTCTTTGCATCGGACAGAAGTTTGCATTCATCATCCAGTTTGATGAGACCATCTAAGTTTTCCATTCGATTAACCCTATTACAAACACTACTCTTGGATTCATCTTGGATATCATTTTCGGGACCATCTGAGCTGTTCATTTCAGAAGCCAGGTCACATATATTTTTTGAGAAGGTAACAGAAGCAAGGTCACAGATATTACCATGATCAGTACTTGGACCAACGTCAATCCTTGTAACGTCCGACTCGATGGATGAGACTGTAATTTTAGGTCTTGTGCAAAAGTTCAACTGGAAAAGGGTACACTGGCTCAATTTGCGTTTACTTCCTCTAGCAAGGCATTTATCTAAAAAATCACATTCCACTGTAAGTTTTCACACAGCTCTAGTCAAAAGAATAAAAGGAGAGATCATATTAGAAAGGAAAAAATGAAGTTGTTACTAAAGCTGCCACAAAAATAGGTGCTTTGTAGACTTGGCAAAAGGATAGGCATAAGCAAGAGGACTACATTTCATGGCTCTCTTTCTGCAGTTGTATTTTACCTTGCAAAACTGGGTCTTACGACTACTGGATACTAAAGAATTAGTTGTCTAGTGGCTATGTCAAATTGTTAAATTCACATGATGCCAAAGTACAGGAAAAGAAAAAGGTATTTCTGTTAATCTATATGTTCTTTTCTTGATATATTTTTCTTTTCGTGATACCAACCCACAAAGGGTGTCAACAATTGCAAAATGAATTTTAAAATTTTGAAAGCAAGAAAATTATCACTGGCTTATGTTCCACATGGAGTTAGTAGCAATTTCTTTACCATCCTAATTCAACTCATAAACATTCGGCAAATACGTCCATAATATCATCCATAATTGACAAATGGTAATCTGAGAAATTTAAAACTTCAAATAGGCAGATCCAAGATTTAAATTTTACGGGTTCGAGTTTGAAATTCCCTTTTTTTAATGATGTAGTGGACTTACATTCACCAGCATCAAGAAGATGCATAACAAAAGTTCAAGTTCGAAAGTCTACTGGGTTCAAAATCTATTATTCGTACTTATTTAGTATATTTTTGACGCATATAGGGTCTGGACCAAATACACTAAATCCACACCTGACCTCCTCCAGCAACTTAAACATTTTTCGATACAAAGCACGATTCTAATACACATAAAACATAAGGATTACCACATTTACTCTACTATCAAGCTACATATGGACGAAAGTATCCTAAAATGCTCAAAAAATAATCTAAATATTAGCATCCAAATCAGAAGGAACTCCACATAATCTTAAAGTAAAAATGCACCTAAATGAGAGTTAACCACGCGATCTTCGCCTCGAATCTTCTTCCCACAAACAGGACAATCAACCCATTCTTCTTCATCAACATTTCCATCTCCAGTGCTTACCTCATCCTTATATTCCTTACAGCCAATCTGAAAATCCTCGAATTAAATTATTTTTCGATTTAAGTAAACTGTAAAACAATTAAAGGAATTAAATTAATAGTAAATTATACCTGATGCTGAGGAGCAGATGAAGCGAGAAGAGCGTGACGGCGACGGAGAAATCGCCGTCGCCGGCCAACCAATCGGATTAAACTTTCCCGCCCTTTCAGCATCGTAGGGGAAAACCCTAATAATGTGTATCAAAACTTTCGCTATTTGAGGGGGAAACTTATACGTACCTCGTATAAAAAATCGAGGTATGTGTTTTTAAAATTTTAATTGTAGGTCTAGAGTAGTCCCTCAAGTATCACCTGAACAGTTTTGGTCATTTAATTTTATCAAATGTGAGCACTTTTGGTCTTTGTCAGCTATTTATCATACTCGAATTGTTAAAATTTAGCTGACAAAAACAACAATATACCCAATTTTATCCCACACGGTGGGGTCTGGTATTATTAAAATTTAGCTGAAAATCTGAAAACTGAAAATAGTAAAAGGAAATCTTATTTAAAAGTGCCTTTTTTGTAGTTTTTTTCTTTTTTTATCCATTTTTGAAGTCTAATGCAGCTTGAGGCATAATTTTTTTCTGCTTGGTGTAGTTTTTTTGTGCAGCGATTTTTGAAATTTTGATGGAACTTTTTTTGTGAAATCTTATTGCTAGTACATTTTCGGTTAGATTAACAATCATGATAAATATCTAATGGAGATCAAGTTACTTGTTTTTTAAAAGCTTAAAAAACCAAAACCCCTCACTGTGAATCAAGTTGTATGTCTTATAAACTAGATACTAGTACTAGTAGATATTGAATGTTTTTCGTTAAAAAAGAAATTGGAACGGATTAAACACAGAATAAAAATCTAAAATAGTTCATCAGTTAACATTGAGAATACCCGAAATTATTTTCTTCTTTATGAAAATGTCGATGGACCCACTATTGGTGTTGATCCCGTGATGTTGCACCATATTAGTTATTAAGAAATTATTTCAACTCGTCTCACATTCACCCGCACTACATATCCGTAAACCCACATTGCCCCGCATATACTTAAACCCGCACCGCCACTACCCCATCGCCCCATATGAAGCTTGTGCATTAAAGTTATGATATTGCCTGAATTGGGTTAAACATGCATTACTTATGTGTGAATTATCTTTTTCTAATCTCTCCAATCAAAAATTGATTATCTTATGCAGAATTTACCATGAGGTCAATTCTCCAGGTCCTTTTAACAAAACAGCCCCTTAGTCGTAAGGTTTAGAAGAAAATGTTCTAAAGTTGTGATGCTGCATTAATCTGCTTTTAGTGTTTATCAATAATATTTTCAACGTTCTAAAATATATTTTGGATAAATATCAGTAACCTAAAATGTAATTGGACCAAGTGATGTGATATATGCAAACACATGAATAACATGAGTAAAATCCAACTTGATATATAACAATCAAACGATTAATTCATAATATTATAATTTCTATAGAATTTGATGATAAGAAACCATATTTCAAGCTGGAATGCTGGATAGATGTTGATGCATGTGTAAGGGAACAAACAAATGAATTAAGAGGATACAGAGAGGGGAGTTGATTGCAACAATGAGAAAAAACAAGGTGATGCCGATGACATAAACACCGGTAAATAAGTTAAAACATCCAAAATTTTCTACTGGAGCTACAGCAAAGTTCCTTTCCACCAAATATAATTGTCCCATTCTGATACAAACACCAAAATTTTCTCTACTAGAAGGTACTACACGAGGAGAACTGCATTGATACAACCGTCATTTTCAGGATTATTCGTCACTTGAGCATATTTACCTGGCATTCAACCATCCAATAAAATGAATCATCAGAATTTAAAGGACAAAAGAATCTGGGAAGTAACATCTAAGTAAAGCATCGCTTACCCCATACAACTTTCCCAGCAGGAGTGACAAGACCAAGTTCACTGACATTAACCTGGATTATATAGCAAGACAATTAGCGATTCAAGCTAAACTAGATGAACTTGGGTGCAGTGTTGAAAAGGGAAGATTACCTCAATGATGGTACCCTTGGTTATAACACCTAGTGAAGTATACATTGGACCATTAGGATTCTTCTTCACCCCGATGATCTCAAGGTTGAATGTGCATTTAAGTTCAGGGTGTGTCACGTGGGCTTTAGTGAACCGTAAGCCTGACGGGCGGATGAACCGCTCATACTTTGGAGGTTTCCTGGTAAACCCTGCTCCGACAAAGGTGGCTTTTGTAACCATTCTCTTCCACTGCTTTGCTGCAAAGATGCACAAATCAAAATGGTCAACAAGTCACTCTTACTTATCCCAAAGACAACAAATAAAGCAACAAAGGACAAGTACAAGGAGATGAAATCAAGAACCTGGACATGGCTAAGAGCCTGTAAATACAGGCTAACCAACAGAAAACGAAATTAGGATTGTAGAATACTTACTCTTCCTTTTGCCAGATCTTATCACTCTGAACATCTCATCCTCGGCCACAGGCCTAACCTGTAAGGTGAAGTATCTTATTAGAAAGCAAATTAAGTAAACGAAAGATCACGGACATTTACCCACAAAAGGAATTAAAGTGCTGCTCATATGCAATGGGAGATGGTAACCTTTTATGCGCCATCTATTTTCAGTGCAAGCACAGTATACTTATCTAAGAACACAAATAAGAATCATTGCTCTAGCTAAACGAATTCTATGTGGGACGAAAAATTCACAACTGCAGTTAAAAGAGAGCAAACTGAAGTATGAAGTATCTCTGTTTGCGACCAGTCAAACAAAGAGAGACAGAGAGACGTCAATATTTCAGAATTGACGGACCATTCAATTGCACAGGAACACAATTAGAAAGAAATATGAACACATCGGACAAGGGTGAAAACCATACAGAGACAGTATAGGACGAGTAACGTAAAGACGAGAATAAAATTACTTTACCTTAGGCAAAGGCACCTCCCATTTTCCAGCTTTCTCTTTCCGCTTTTGCTTTATTGTGTTGCTAAGAATCTACACAGAAGGTTTAACATTTAAAATCAGTATAAACAGTCTATGTTCATATTACCACCACTTGAGCAAAAAGACAAGAAGTTCACTGCTGCATTGCACTCAACATACCTTAGCTCTTGTGGTTGTTTCACGGTCCATCAGATATGCAGGGACAGCACCGTCATGCACGTCATCGTCAACCTTGCGACGACTCGATGACTCTTCATGCATAGCCAATCTATTCAAAGAAAGAAAAGCTGTTAACTGGATAGAATTTCAGAAACTCTGCTACAAAGTTACCATCCTTTGTTTCATTAATAAACTGGTGCATGCTTCAGTGCCTGGAAAATCATCACATCATGTGTCTCACCATAAGGACCAAATAAGCACCAAGTATCACATAAATGTTTTTAAAAAATTAGCCTCACCATAAATAGCATCATTCACAGAATGCAGCAAGCCAGCAACTAGTCCGAAAATATGGAGATGTTACCTCGGTGTAAGAGGCTGAAACTATCTCCTCTTTTTATCTTTTAATATGATCTGAATTTTGTACGGAGGCACACTATTCACTAGTTTAATTATTTACCACATAATCCAGAATCTCAGTGATATTGAAAATAACCTTATTAGGAGACAGAAGTCGTACAATTATTTCAACGGACAACTGCTAAATGAAAAAGAAACTAGGTTTGACATGTTAATAACCTTGGCGTGGATACAATTAGTTAGAGGATTCAACTTCTTCCCTCCCTCCACT